GATGGTGGAGGTATTCAGCCAAAGGGTATTGATAGACAAGGCCTCCTCAGTGCCCAAGGGATGACTTGAGTGAAATCTGGAGGGAAAAACTTTTGGATTTGGATGATGAAAACACAAGTGACCACCAGAGACAAAACGTGATCGGGAAACCTATGGATGGTGCTCCAAACATGGAGAAGAACGACGCGATACACGAGAAGATGATCTCTCCTATGAACTTGAGCCTCTCCTAGAAGCCTCGGGAGAGCGCAACCTTAGGAGTATTGACCTCACACATGGGGAATGTCGATGCCACTGTCTGGCACAAACAGTGTGGTACCCGGATCACGCGAACCTCTGCCTGATCTGGGATGTGGAAGAAATTAGGTCGTTAGGACTGCCCGATCATCAGCGGAAGGTGACCATCTTGGTGGTGAGCACGATGCTGGCTCTACGATGGATTGAAGAAAATGTAACCAAGTATCGGGAATCGAAGACGCCAAAGGCGGAGTCGATATACGCGATAGATTACAGCAGGAGACTTGAGTTGTTTGAGACTGCATGCGAGGTATTCGCCATACCAATGGAAGTCAGACACGTATGGAGCCGCATAAGGTTCTTTCCTTGGTTTCGAGCGACGTTGACGTCCTGGTTATACATGGTAACGAAGGATCATATGAGGAAATATCAAAAGGAATATCGACAGTTCCAGGCCGAGATAGGATCGGAGGCTTTCAAGAGGCCTCTGCTGACCCATCGAAATGCGATCACGACGGGATGGAAAAGAGTTGGTAGAGTATCCAGAAACAACACCAAGGCGAGAGAGTCGATACTAGAGGAAGACTTGGCGAAGAACGTGAGCCTGAGTCTGCACATTTCCTTCTGTTTGAACCGAGAGTCGAGGGTGAAGAGTTTGCCCAACCAAGCGAAGAGATTGCAGGAGCAAAGGGAATGGATGCGGTCCTATGAACAGCTGAAAGCCTGGGAAGAGAACGTGATTAGCTCCGATGACGAAGAGGCACTGTTGAAGCAGATCACGGTGTCAAATACGTCTGGGTCTGGTACCTCGAAGGCGAAGAACAAGAGATGAGCAGGTGGCTCAATGGGGAATTCTAGAGTCTTGAGTCTTGAGAGCGAAGGAAAGGGGCTCGAGGGTGAACTTGGATGAAATCTAGGTTCACGAAAATGAAATTTTAACAAATGAGATATTTCTATGAGTATGTTATATCTATTATATAAATCAAAATGCTGCATGACAATTTCCTGATTGAATAGGACAAAAGAAATTTTAAATCTAAAGTAAAGGGTCTGCCGAATCAGGCGAAAAAGCTACAAGAGCAAAAGGAATGGATGCGAGCCTACGAACAGCTGAAGGCATGGGAAGAGATCGTGATCAGTTCCGATGACGAAGAAGAACTGGCAAGGCAAATTACGATGTCGAGTGTGTCAGGACCCAGTACCTCGAAGACAAGAGGAAGGAACTGAAGAGGGTGTTCAGGGATTGGTTCTTGAATCGTTAGCGGGGAGAAAAGGGCTTGAGTGTGAACTCAAATGAAAACTGAGGACACGGAAAGAAATTTTAATGAAAAAATATTGTTATTATTATATTATATCTACTATATAAATCAAAATGCTGCATGACAATTTTCTGAATGAGCAAAACAGAAGAAATTTTAATGATAGCTTACAAAGCGGAATTTCAGGGTGCAGGTGTATGCAGAATTTGATTGCTGTTTAGCGATAGTGTGAAAATTTTACATGGTTGTGAATTTTGGGATGTAGATAAACTTATGTCTGCTGCAAACTTCTGTAAATGATCACTGGCACTGTATCTTGAGCAACACTCGGGTTTCTGGGGATTCACTGACAGACAGCAGCACGCGATGAGGACATCGATCTTGAGTCCGGGGAGTATGTGCCAGTCGGTCATATCTGGAAGTTTGACCTTGAGGAACAGGAAAAACGTGGTTTTGGAATGAAGTTTAATTTTTCAAAAATTCGAATGGTGCCTGTCATGCTCAGTTTTCTCGCGACAACTGAAAACATCAAATATAAAATCAGAACAACCGAATTACAATTGCGGGAAAATTGTCAAATAAACACAGTGGGAAATTGCTATTCGCAATTTCCGTCGTAGAAAACGAGAGTAGAGCTGTCCTATGTGATATAGGAGACAGAACAATCACGAGAGCAGATCAAGATTCAACTAAGCCAGAAAGAACCTTCAATGGAAAGGTAGACAACTGAAGTCTCCCAAGGGTTCAGATCCAAAACTACATTCTTGAATTAAAACTCATTTTCTTTGATTGGAACTCATTGTTAGAAATATTCTTGAGTTATATTCGATTATATTCATGCTAGAGTTATTAATTAGTTTAATTACTCTGTTTCTCAAGTGTGCTGCTATGTAAGTACCAAATTTAATTTTCCCGAGTGCATTTTATGATAAGTATACTGAGATAAGGCGAGTTTTAGGTTGATCCATCTGAAATGGATCAAAGTTCCACTGTCCAATAAAAAAGTAACTTAACGGATTATTCCGACCCTGTTTTTAACGGCGTTCGTGTATTTTGGGTATTTTGAGACCTAAGTATGGGGACGCTCTTATTTTCTAGAATTGAGGGGGGGGTATTTTGGTAGTGGCCTTTAAGCTGTAACGGGTTCTAGTCTCATGTCGCAAGTGAACCGAATTGGCTCCGACCGTTTTTGAGGTAGAAAAACACAAGAGATAGTGTCCCTGTCGGCGATTGTTACACAATAAATGACAAAATAACTTTCGACGAAGTTTTTTATTTGTAAAACTTGTATATTATATTTTCTCGTGTCTAGTTGCGTGTTCTTATTGAAGAAACGTAACCCGTATCGATTTTAATTGAAAAGGACTTAAACACTTGAGAATGCGTTAAAATTGTAAATTCAAACAAACGTTTTTGCACATTTTGTGCATCTTCAGGTTTTAAAAATTCTAAACTATCTGTACAAAATGATCAAAGATCATAAAAAAAGTCACACACATCATTACTTCAAAATTTTAAAAATTCAACCAATCAAAACTTTACAAATATCACTGAAATTATGTAACAACTATTATGTAACATTTTAAAACATTTTGTAACAAATTTCTGAGAGTTTTCTTCATTTTTATTTTTACATTTTCGTTTTGTGGCTAATTTTTATGCTAACATGTAAGTTGTTTCAAAATTTTGTTGTTTTAGCCAGAGTTTTTTGATTCTGGAACTATAGCCTTAGTGTTAGCTCCCTACTTCTAAACTCGTCGCGCGTGTTAATTGCCGGTCTCTCTTTCCTAATGTGCAGCGCCTCTAATGTAAGTAACTTGATGCTGCTGGACGCCTGGTCGATTATTTTCCAATTAAACTCAGACTTACCACGCTCACTACCACACTGCCTTATATGCTGTCCAACTGGGGTATCCTCTTTTCGGTGTTCCTCAATCCTTGTGGTGAGATGTCGGACCGTCTGGCCAACATAGATGGATTTGCACCCACAACATTCAAGTCTGTACACCACGTTTGATTTCAGTTCACTGGAAAAGGAGGATTTTAGAGAGGGCATACAAGTTTTTAATTTCCTCGTCGTGAATATTATCAGCGCATTGGTGATATCGCGCACTTTTTTTTGCTAATGTCTGACTGTGATTCCCCCTATATTGGACCATCAAGATGGGTGGTGAATCACTGCTATAATCACAGGGCTTCTTTTTCTCAGCCATGTTCTTTTTGTTTTTGCCCTCGCTGATGATCTTTTCAAGGGCATGGGATGCAACCCGCGACGACCAACTTTCCGGATATTGGTTATCCAACCACTGCTCACGGTTGATTTTCATGGCTTTATCATATTCTTCCCATGTTGACGTACTGCGGAAAACCCTGTGAACAGTTCCTTCAATCACACTTCTCTTGTACTAAAGGGGGGCGCAGCTTCTAAAATTGAGTATGGTACCTGTATCTGCTGGTTTTTGATACCACCCACAGCTAATTTTCCTGTAAATCCAAAAATGCCAAAGTTCGGTTTGTGTTTGGTGTCTCTATTGTGAACTGTAAATTTGGATGTAGTGAGTTTGTAGCCCGTAGCACTTTTTCAGGATCACCCTTCACTGTTCTCACTATACCATCAACGTAACGGAGAAACAATTTAGATTGTTGCCCTGACTTGTTTTTCTCCCTTATTGCGATGCATTTTTTGCAGTACCAGACGGTTTTACTTATATTTCGATACTCATCATCTGATATATCACCGCATTTTACGTGATACACTTGTCATCTTCTTTTATCATTATCACTTCCATGTCTAGAAAATTCCAAGGATTTTGACTGGAATACGTGATGAAGGGACTCCTGACTGTAACCTCGGTTACTATGATGCTTTTGACCTTCTGATTACCTTAAAAAAAGAGAATGAAAAAATTATACATGACTTGAATAACTCATCAAGTAGCTTTTTGAATTATAAAAGTTTTTGATCAAGTCCCTCAAATTATGCATAACATATTCATTTCTTTGGTAATATTGACAATTTCAGCTTATAAAAGTCAATATTCTTCTGTTTTTCTGCTCTTGGACCCATTCTGCTATTAGATCATTCTGCTTATTGACTGGGCACCCAAGAGTTTCCTTCTTACTCTAGTGGCAGTGCTTTTTACTTTATCTGTCCTAACTCGCACTTTTTTTATAGCGCTATGTTGCTTTTTTTGTGGTTCTTTTTTTGTTATTTGGAAATTACACAAACATTGGAAAGCGATTGGAATTTACATGTACGAACTCGAACGGAGATAGGAAAAAATATTTGAAATGACCACAAGAGGCACTGCCTAATGGTCATAAAAAACTTGACTTGACTTGACTTGACTTGTTATCATTTTTGTACACTAAAGTCATGTTTTTTTTTGTGCAGCTGGTTTTTTTTATAAGTTGCTGATGATGTTGCTGCTGCAATGAAAAGGTTGATACTTGATATGTTTTTAAGACGACAAACAGGCGCTCTGTCTTCTGATCATTTGACCTAATTGTTGTGATAAACTTATTAAATAGATTTGTTATGTTTGATGTTTGTGCCTGTATGTGGAGCGCCCTCTGAGGGATTTTAGAGACAGGTCTGTCAAGTGGCTTTCTGTGGGGAGGTGGGGAACTGGAACTGGCTTGAGGAGTCTGGTGGTGCGCCGCTGGACCTACTGAGCTCGGGTGAGATTGTTCCTTGTTTTTGATTTTTATAATTCGATTTTAAAATTTAAATTAATTTAGTTGTCTTTTTTTATTTGCTGATTTGTAAAATTCCCACTAACCGCTTATCATGGGTTAGTTCAGTCCCTAAAGTCCAGTCAAAATCCTTTTTTTTTACCTTTATGCTGCGTCAAGATGAGGAAAAACAACAAAGAGTGTACAAGCAAAGATTGCTTAAAACCTTCAGGACTGATAAATTGGATTAGATGTGATTGTTGTTCTAGTTGGTATCATATCAGTTGTTTAAATATTTCTCTTAGCGACTCTAAGAAAATCCAATGGTTTCAGTGTCCTTTATGCGTTGATGTAAAATCTGTTAATAAAGCAACAAAAGGTAATGATTTAGTGCTAGACAATTATGTTAATACAGCCATCTCAAAAGTCCGAGTACTCAAGAGAGTACCAAAAGACTCGCGTGTTCCCTTGGCGGAAAGTCTGTCGGACAAAATAAATGACATCGTCTACAATGTAGAAGATGTTACAAAATGGCTGATTTTTTAATGTCGTTCTTGTTTTTTTTGGAGCAACCGAAAAGAAGTGGACGCAAACAGACCACAAGCATGAGCTCTTTGACAAATAAAAAAATTCGAGCAAATGACGTGTCACTTCCAAAACCCCATCCCCAAGTTTCAAGCCCGCATCTGAGTGACCTCGAGCAGAGAATAAAGTTAATAAGTAGTAAGCTCGATGAAGGAAATGTAAAGGGAGGAATAAGGCTGGCTGCTTCGGATGACAAAATAGCTCCTTTTTCAACTGATAACTATCAAAAATTGTTGTTTAAGCACCCGCAGCGAGCCAAATTTGCAGCTCCAAATCCAGAAAAGTTGGATAGTTTTTTCGTAACCGAGTTCGACCTATACAAAGCGATAATGTCTTTTCCAAACGGATCAGCAGCAGGTCCTGATAAAATATTTCCTCAAATTTTTAAAGATCTTGTTAGTAAGTCGAATGGCAGTGCAGGACTTAATTTTCTGAAATCGCTTACTAAGCTGATAAACCTCATTGGAGATGGCAAAATATCGGAACCACTAAGACCTTTCTTTTTTGGCGCAAAGCTTATCGCCCTCATAAAAATAGACGTATCGCGTCTAAATGCGCTGGAAGCAAGGCCCTCTCCGAGCGACAAAACTTTTTCGGAAACGTACAGATAGGATGCGGTACCAAACGAGGAGCAGAAATAGCTGCGCACTCGTTTCGAAACCTAATTGAACGCGACGACAATCCAAAATGCACTGTTGTTTTAAAACTAGATTTTAAGAATACCTTTAACTCTTTAAACAGAGAAACAATGCTGAATCATGTTTTTTCAAATCGCCCCGAATTGTATAATTACACCCATTGCGCGTATGGTAAACCTAGTTACCTTTTTTACGGAAGCTCTGTCATAATGTCAGAAGACGGAACTCAGCAAGGTGCTCCTGAAGCCCCACCCCTTTTTGCGGAATTAATTCATACACTACTCAAACAGTTGGAGTCGAAAATTAACATCTGGTATTTAGATGATGGGAATTTAGCCGACGACTATAAGGTAGTACTCCGGGACCTTAAAAACATTCTGAAATCGGAACAAATTTACGGCCTGAGCTTAAACACTGAGAAATGTGAACTTTGTTTTTTGGGACCGACTACTAGTACACAGTATAGTTCAATTTTAACACAATTTCTAAAAATATGCCCCAAAATAAAAATAAAAACAAAAGAAGAACTCCTCATTTTAGGATCTCCAATCGGCGAACTTTGCCGAAAAGAATTGCTCGGCGAAAAAATTAGGGAGCTTGAAAACATCTCGGATGTCATTGACAAACTAGACGCCCATTATGGTTTTTACCTCCTGAAAAATTGCTTTAGCATGCCAAAACTCCTACATTTTTTGCGTACGAGCCCTTGTTTTTTGCAAAATGATTTTTTGGAACGCTACGATAAATTACTAAGAAATTCGTTATGCAAGGTCACTAACGTGAAAATGGATGATAACCAGTTTTTACAAGCAGCTCTCCCGGCAGCCAAAGGTGGCTTGGGCGTTTCTTCCGCTCGTCTACTCGCTTCACCCGCTTTCTTAGCCTCAGCAGTAAGAGCGAAAGATGCCTTGAGCGAAATCTTTGGTTTGGAGCATGTGGATGGAACCTATGATGATGCTCTTAAACGGTGGTTTGACCTTGGAAAAATTGAAATGGCTCCGGAAAATGAAATCCAAAAAAACTGGACGGAGCCAATTTTTGACAGCGAAATTGCAGACTTGATTTTACGACTCGAACCAACGGACGTAAAAAGGTTCAACGCGTTCCAAGATAGATTTGGATCCCGATGGTTGAACGTCATCCCGTGCAAAAATTTAAGGTTAAAACTGTCGAACCAACAACTCAGAATTGCGATAGGACTTCGATTAGGATCAAAAGTATGCGAACGGCATAAATGCGTGTGCGGAAAAGACGTTACTGAGGATGGTTGGCATGGTCTTTCTTGCCTCAAAAGTGCAGGGAGATTCTCTAGGCATTCAAACCTGAATGCCCTTATAAAGCAGAGTCTATCATCTACTCACATTCCGTCTGTTTTAGAACCACGACACCTCTACAGGACCGATCAGAAGCGACCAGACGGTTTGACGCTCGTTCCATGGGCTGATGGTAAGCAGCTCTTGTGGGATGTAACGGTAGTAGACTCCTTAGCTCCTTGTAGGATTAATGCCGGGTCTGTTTGTAACCCTGGTACGGCTGCCACTGAAGCGGAAGAGCGAAAAATTGACAAATATAAAGATCTTGTAAATGATGGATATCTTTTTCAACCGCTAGCTTTTGAAATTCAGGGCGCGGCCGGCCCCAGCACAGAAGTTTTTTTGAGCAAGCTTTGTAAGAACCTAAGCATATGCACTGAGGAACCCAGAGCAGGCAGCTTTTTAAAACAGAGAATATCCCTGGCAATACAGATTGCGAACGCCGCTTGCGTACTCGGAACAATGAATGAAAAAATAACTTTCGACGAAATTTTTTACTTGTAACACTTGTATATTATATTATCTCGTGTCGAGTTGCGTGTTCTTATTGAAGAAGCGTAACCCGTATCGATTTTAATTGAAAAGGACTTGAACACTTGACATCTTCTTTTATCATTATCACTTCCATATCTAGAAAATTCCAAGGATTTTGACTGGAATACATGATGAAGGGACTCATGACTGTAACCTCGGTTACTATGATACTTTTGACCTTCTGATTACCTTTAAAAATCTGATCATTTGGCAAATTATTTATGGAAAGTGTAATCTCTTTCAGATCGTTGGAGGATGTCAGACAGTAGCCCTTCGAAAAGAAGGTACTATATTGGACGGTGGAACGGAAAGCGTGCTAAAGTTGAATCTTTAAATAGTTTTGAAGAGGATTATCCCCCAGTTAGTCAAGTAAATAGGAGCAGTGAGTTGTTTGATAGCGTTTTAAATGACGCTACTTTGTGTAATGTTAATCGTCAAGAGCATTCAACTTCGACGATCAGAAGCAGAGTAACAAAACCAATTGCCAACACGTATTTAATTAAACCACAGACTGTGTCGTTCAATCGCTTCGAGCTTTCTTCAGACGAAGAGAAAGATTTTGTGAAACCAATAAGTATACCTCCAGATCCAAAAAGTCCTTTGCATGCCGAGGTAAATTTTTTGGGAGAGCCAGTGAACCAGGAACTGTCTTTGCCAGCTGACACAGCTCTGAACGATAAAAAAGAATCGCGTATATCCAAATTCAATAACTTCGGTGTTTCTAACATTCAAGTCAAATCCCGGGAAAATGAAAAGCCCTTCAATGTATGTATCAAGAACGAAAACGTTGCTAATTTCGATTCAGATTATTTTTCTCAAGAGTCTCCTTCGCAGTCCCAAGAATCTCCATTCAGAAAAGTTTCGCGATCTGATCTTGCTAGGACACCTGTCAACCAAGTCAGCGGTTCTTTTGAAAAGTGCTCAGATGCAGTTGATAGTGTATTGCATTTGACAGAGCCTGCTCCCTTAAGTCTGAAAGCAACCAAGAAGAATTTTCTGAAAAGTGGAACAGGGACGCGGAAGGTGAGTTGATCCATTTTAATAAATTCATGTCGATCGCAACTTTATGGATATGATTTTCTATGGTATCTAACTCTATGCGAATTCGAAACTGGTAAACACGGTTTTATGGTTTAAGAGTTTCAGAGAAGGAACTTCATCGAGTTTTCTTGCTTTTAGTACCAAAAAAACGGTCGATTAAGTGATAAAAGTTTGACAATACAAATAGACGAATTAAAGTATGTCAAAGTATGCGAGGGTTATTTGACTTGCGAGAGCAAGTGTACTTTTAATCGGGAATTAGGTTTTTTTCAAGTACTTAACTTCTCACAAATTTTTGGGAAAATGATCTTGTTCTAAATCGAATCTCAGCATATCTCGGCCCCTTCTCACTTAGTATAGAGCTAAAACACCCGCTTTCGGAACATCTGGTCTAGGTATCGAGTCCCAGTAGGACCTTGTTTTTCTTGGATGTGGAGATTTTTTCTTCTTTTTTTCGGCTCAAGTGGTGTCTGCTCAAAGATTAGCGCATCACGCAATTTTTGTGCTGAAAGCAAATTTCATTGTAGTTGCTAGTGCAGTTGTTCAATGTAGTTTCAGGGGGACTTGAAGCTTTTTTTTACCTGTCTTAAATAATCTTTTTTTCGGCTGAGCTTTTGTTTTGTTGCTAATTAAATATTATTAACGCCTGCGAGTAGCTAGTGTTTTAGCAGGAACCTTCTTTTTTTTAACCTAATTGACTAATAAAAGTTCACTTCTGTGCTTTTTTGATATAGTCACGATCTGTAGCATTGGAAATTTCATAGCACCTGTTCTCGGCTTTATTTGTGGTTAATTTTTGTGATGGACTAATCGTCCGTGGCTGAGTGGTTAGAGCGTGAGACTCAAAATCTCTAGGTCGTAGATTGAGTCCGACTATTCGGACTCAACCTACGACCTTCGAGTCCGAGTATTCGACGAATTTTTACTAATTCGAGGCTGATTTTTACTTTTTTTTGCACTAGAGCTGATTTTTGTCGTGTTCTCGCTAATGTTTGCGAGGTCAAATGTCTGGCATGTTTGCCTAGAATGAACTTTTATCGAGTTATACGAGAATTTAAATTTTGTTAGACCTAGTTTTCATATATTTTTCTTTTTTCGAACGTTGATTAGTAATTTTTAAATCCAATTTTCTAAATCTTCAATTGATAACTAGGGCGTTGGTTTCAAATTTTGATAAACAGCCTTTGATAAATAGTTTATTGCCCTTGCGTACTTGACTTTTTTTCTTGTTCATATGATAACTCGAGTTGACTGTTGATCTTAATCTGAACTTTCTTCAATTAGCAGACAATTTTTGAGCAAGTTTTTTTTTCTGTTGGTTGTAAAATTTATCAAATCTGATTTCAGTATATCAGTTTTTTTCCTCTGATTTTCTTTGCTCGGGTGAAAAGGTTTCGGCATGGCGGCCTTTTTAAAAATCTTTTGACGATCAAAAGAAGGATATCTAAATGTTTTCAGGGGGCCTCAAATGCCTTTTTGAGTTTTGAAGTGTTTTATGAAAACAATATTTCTCTACTCGACTTGTGTCTACTTCGGTATGGTATGAAATATTTGATTTCGATGTTCAATTAGCTTTCGCAGGTCTTACCTAGCATATTTTTCTTAGAGGAACTTTTATTAATACAAAATCAAGACAAAGATGAAAATTTTGGTAGATCAATTTGTTTCAAAAAGTAACTTTTCGATTTTTTTTCTGTCTATTAGTTTGCCATGCTATTTTTTGTAACGCAGATTGTGCGATGTTTTGTTTGGCTTTTTGTAATACAGAGGAGAAGCGGAGCTTTGCAACGTTAGCGATACAACGCTAGCACAGCATTGCAAGCTAGTGATTAAAATGAGAGAAAATTTCAGAAAAACAGTCGAAAACACACCACCACCAGTGTTAATAGGCCTTTGGTATTTACCGAGCAGCCCCTAAGCAGACAATGAGTAGGTAGACGCCAATTGAGCCAAAAACAAAAAAATTTCAGAAAAAATTTTGAGCTCTTTAATTTTGAATACTTTGAATTCTTGCAGCAAAAACTACCTGATTTTTTCAAAAAGAAAAATCAATCAGTTATTGTCTCAGAAACACAAAATTGAGCAAAGTAAACTGATAAAAATAAGCCGAAATCATTTAGGCCGAATAAAGCTTTTAAGCGAAAAAAGAAAAGCTGTTTTTCCGGTAAACAGCTTCTTTTTTTGCAAATACTTCTCGCTTTTCGTACTTGCATCGTTATTGCAACTGAGCAACTTCAATTTCGCTCATTTTTTGTTCTAGATTTTTTGAGGTTATTTTTGTACCCTTTGTTCTGGGCTTCGAGTCCCGGATCGACCTTGTTTTTTTTCAGTATGTATGAACTTGAAATGGTTTCCGGTAAAAATTGAATTGTCGGACTTTTGTTTGTCTGCTCAAATTTGTCGACTGTTTCCCACATCACAGATTTTGCTTTTACTGTACGCAACCTTCATTGTAGTTGCAAGTGCAAGTGTTTTTTGATGTAGTTTCAGAAGGGTCTCAGGAGGGTTTGTTTGATGGAGTTTTGGAATAATTTTTTTTTGTCGGCTCGAGTAGTGCCTGCTCAAAGATTGACACATGGCGTATTTTTTGTACTGTTAGCAAGTTTCATTGAATTTGCAAGTGCTAATGTTGTTCAACTTAGTTTCAGGTGGAACTTGAAGCTTTTACGTTTTTTTAAATAATTTTTTGGGATCAATTTGTGAATGCTCGAAGATTGTTTCCTCTTCGTAAGTTATGTTCCGTTGCTAGTTACCTTTGCGATAAGCGAGGGTATTGTTTAATAATCAGATTTCAGTCGTGTATGCCTAGAAGGAACTTCTATCGAGGCATACGAAAGTTTGAATTTTTGTAGAGCTAGTTTTTTCTAAATTTTTCAGTTTTTTTTGTGAATTATGTTTTACCCTTGTGATTGCAACCGGATACTTGACTTTCTCCTCGTAATTAACTTTTTCAGAAAATGTTCAAAAAGTAACCATTATACCAACAATATCCGCAAGTAGCATACCCACAATATCCGCTAATAGCAAGGCCAGTGTATTGGTAGCATATATCATTTGAGAGCAAATTAAATGTTCTTATAACGGCATTTCTTTGCGTGACAAAATTTTTTGGTTGATTTCTGGCGCTGGAGGCTATCTTTTTTCATCGACATTATATGATACTGATTGAACCCGTACAAAAAATTTTACAGAAATTTAAGCCAAACTCACAGAACCTCCGCATTTAAATTTAAAAAAACATGAAAGGTTTTTTTAAGTTTTTTTTTGTTTGTTAAACAACTCTGGTCGAAGCCTTTTTTCTTAGTTTTAATCCTGCAACTGGCTTCATTTATCATGTTTTTGTTCCCGGTGAGGTAAATGTGTTCGTTAGTTTTTCGCTTACTTTTTGTTTAATTTTTTTATAATTTACACAAGAAACCAATAAAAAAACAGTCAGCTGTTGAAGCAGCAGCTGATTGTTTTTTTTTCTTATTGCTTTCTATTTTAAATTGTTTAGGGAGGTAACCGTTATATTTGATATGTCTGTTTTTAAGCAATTATAAAGTCCCAAAAACATCAGTTCAAAAATATCAATTCTAAATCCCAAAACATCAGTTCAATAACTTTTAAATCATTTGTTCAATTTTTCTGGAAGAATTTTTCGTTTTGAACTGATCTTGATTTGATTTGAGCTATTCTTCCAAATTAACTTGTTTTTTTTCTATAATTTTGCATAGGCTGAATATTACAAAAAAAAATATAGCATTTTTGATCTTATGTTTATTCGAGCTTATTCTGGCCACTGTTTGAACCAATCAGAAATTAGTTCCTAGATAATGATTTTTGGAAACATTACGAGGCCATGTGTATTTTATGAATTGTAAGCGGATTCCGCAACAAGGACGCTCCCTTTGTTCCGACAAATTTTTACCATGTTTAAAGACTTGTCTCTGGAATCCAGGAACATACAGACACAAAATTGTGCGCCTATTCGGTGCACAGTTTGGCCTCGTATTGAAGTTTTTAGGGAAAATTTGTAACTTTCAAATGGTTATAAAGTGTTTTTGTATACGCTAAATTGTTTATGGCTATTCAAAACATTCGCGAATGTGGTAATTTTTTTTTCGAGAAATTATTGTTTTTTGGGTTTTTTTATCTTTGTGAGATTTACGAAGGGTTTCATTGCTTGTCTTATGAGCAATTTAATGCAGCGCAGCCAAGTTAGTTGAACCTGGACTAAAATTGCTGCTGGTAATTTTTTCAATTTTTTTTTTGCTGTTGATTTAGAAAACTCGCGAAAGAAAATTTTCAATTTTTTCTCATTTTTGCTTTTCAATTTTTGCATTGCAACTAGTGCGAAGTTCGGCTTTGCCTCTGTGTTTATGATGTTTGTGTTGTGTCGCAAGTGATGTGAAGAGCCGCTTCACCTCTGTGTTAGAAAGATTAAGATTGAGTGTAATTTCTAAATTACTTAAATATGTCAATTGTTTGAAGATAATATGATTATAAAAGTAAGTGTTTGTCCGATAGCAAGGAATGAATTTGAGTTTTGTTTCGCTAGTTGCAAAAGTTTCGAATTTTCAGCATGTCATGTTTCGCAAGATCACTAAGTTTTTCAAATTTCTCTCCTGTACGCAATTGATCTGTAGTGAATGACTAACTGTAGACCAGAGAGCAGTGCTAATACTGCGTAGAAGAGAGAGGCTAGAAAAAGGTTACCACTAGCGTCTCCATACCACTTGTCCAGGTTAGCCGCTGTCACTACCGTCTCATTGGGTCGTTGAGGATCAAACGAAGGTGCAATGTCTTCGAATAGGGCTATGGAGTGCATCTGTGTCATTAGACCCAGAATAAACAGCATAATAGCGCCCCAGCTGCACAGAAACGTCAGAAAAAGACTGAGTTTGGGTCCGATTATCTTTACCATTGTTAACTAGCAGAATAATGTGTGTATTTTAAACAAGTCGGGTCAAAAATGTTTATTTTTTTATTTGTTTCTTCACTAGTTGAGAGTGCAGGGGAATGTTGTTACAGAAGTTAACTCAATATTCCAAACAGTCGGAGTGGGTTTATGAACTGAGAATTCAGATTTCGTTTGAGCAAAGACGAGAATTAAAAAAAAAAAGAATCAAAAACGGCGTGGGAAGCATTATTTCGAATCTTTTCTAATCGTGATTCAAACTATACGGAAAAATTTGAAACCATTGTTTTTTTCATAAATGGGAAAAAATAAGGATTCGCTTTTTAAGGTTATGTAGATTGGCAATTGAATAATTGGCGATATACGCTCTATCAGCAAGTACAGGGGCGGATCTAGGATTTTCTCGGGGGGGGGGGGGCGGAATTACAAAAAAAAACTTTTCAAAGCGAAAGTTTCTGCGCCGCAAGCAAAATTTTTTTGAAAAAAAATAGGCCGAAAAGGCGAAGGCGTTGTTAGCCACTTTTTAGACAATTTTGATTTAAAAATTGCGTTTTTTCGACCCGCGCCTTTTTAGGGTCCGTCCGTCACCAATAATGGATATCTCAAAATAGTAAAAATGGGAACCGCCCCCCCCCCCCCCCCTAAATCCGCCCCTGAGCAAGTATATTGTTCCTCAGAAATCGAACTTATGAAAAACTGCGGTATTTTTTGCATAATGACTGTCGTCATAGGTAAATTTTGACTGCGCCTGTAGAATTCGAATGGTTTCGATTGCGAATTTTATGTGTGGCGTTTTTTGACCCGAGATGAACAAAATTACTAATTTCTGAAACACTTTCTGGCAGAATTGGTAACAAAACGTATTTCAATCGTAAAGCTACACTCAACGGAAGGTGAACGGTTAGGTCAGCATTGTGGGGAAAATACAGCTAGTCTGATCTGTTGTTCCGTTATACAGTTTCTACGTAGCTGCGAGAAAGGCATTGGTTTATTACTCCATACGGCTTGCACGCCACCTTCCGTGGTTTTCCCTTTTTTATTCATTCGAGGCACAGAATTATTTTAAAAAAGATGTAGCAAAAGCATAGCGTATACTTGGTGTATAGCCTACATTCAGTCGTGGCACAGAAAATTGGGTTGATTGAAATTTGACTTAATTCTTATTTTGCTGCATTTTCTATATACACCAATTTATAAGGAAATATGGTGTATATTTTTGACGCATTTTTATGGAGTATTTTTTGAGACGTAAATGTCATTTGTCGATCGTTCAAATAATCCATCTGCTTTGAAGGATTATTTAAAATTTGTGTCTGTTGTTTACATTAGTTTCGTGCATATAACTCCGGCTGGTGACCTTGAATGGTGGTCGCTGTTCGATTTACCATTCCATTTAATTGTGCTGAATCTTGAGAATTTTTTTGCTAGCACGCCTTTTACCAAATATGTTGGTATGTTTGTCAATGTATTATGTAAATTTATGTAACTTTCGCAATCTCGAGAGCATATTAAGTATTGGCGTGATTCGGACTCTGATCATTTCTCTCAGTGTTGGGAAAAACTGGTTTGTAAAACGTAGCCTTTTTAGGTACAAAAGCAAGGAAATTCAGATTGAAAAATGAAAAAAAAGCTAAAAAGTTTGTTTTTTAAAGTTTTTTCTTTTTTAACCCTTGCGATAAACAAGAGTATTGAAACCGTGTACTAGGTATTTTCTACGTAAATAAAGTTGTTCACATAATGCTGAAAATTAGAAATCGCAAGTTCATTTGTATGGTCATATATGAAGATATGTTTTTTACTGGATGGATGCTCTTTAGTTGGTGCTACATGTCTGTTACGCTTAGCGTTATGATAATGTGATTTTTCGCCTATTTTTGGTTGTCGGCTATTTTTGATAGGCTTTTACCTATTTTCTTTTTTACTGTTCTTGCTTGATATTGTTTAAGATTCATTTGACACTTGCCTGAAGTTTTGAAAGGATCAAAGGCTACCTCACTGGGCCTTTTTTTTGAAAAAAGGCGAAAAATAAACAATAATTTTTTTCCCGCTTTTTTCTCTCCTGTACGCAAACAATGAAAAGAAAGGGTGAAAAAATCAGGTTTAGTTTCAAAAGTCTGCTTCAATTTTTAGATTTTCCAGCGGAATGTGAAACTCGACTTTTCTATTGTTGCGCAAAATGTGTTCATTTTGATCAAAAACCAGCTATTAACTGCAGTCAATGCTAAGGATATTAGCACAGACTATTATTTTACAAATAGCATTTTAGCTTAAGGTATCATGGATCTTTGGCGTAGAAGTAAGGAAGGAGACTCGCAACAAAATAAGAGGATTCGAAGCTTGGAAGGGTCGGATGTTTTTAATGAAATTTTTTGTATACTAGTTAAGATGTGTCCGCTCTATAAATTGAGGCATGTTAGTTCGAAAATTTCTTTTATCAAATTGACTGGTTCTGCTAATACGTCTTAATTGGATTGCGTCACTTAGCAGTTATGTCGACTCATAATTGGTGTGCGTTACTTAACAAATTTTGTAGACTCAAAGTTTTACTCATTCAGTTTTCCCCACTAGCGTTATCGGTCATATTTTTGCTTTTGTATGCGAAGTGCAACTTGGTTTCTGTGTAAATCAGTTTTTTCTTTAATTCGAATGAATTTATCTGCAGATGTAGTTCTTTTCGCTCACGATACGAATATATCGTGCGATTCCTCAAATTTAGAGGACTTTCAATTTGATTTGACAAATATTTTATCCTGGTTTTGCCTGAATAAGTTAACTTTAAATTCAGATAAAACACCTTAATAGGTTTTGAAAAAAATAGAAGTGCTTCTAAACTTTCTGTCAACATTCTTTATAACTTTTATAAAGCTGAACCCTCGTCTTCTAAGTACCATGGTGTTGTTGTTGTTGTTGTTTGCTGTGGATCCCGTCACAGATTGGGAGGGCATAAATGCCCAGTGCGACGAAGATAGTCCAGGACTTTGGTGGGTTCTTTCTGTAGGACATTGTAGTCAGGATTCGGACCGAAGATTTCGTTTCTGATATTCTGCCACGAGGACAGAGAAAAAGATAGTGCTCTGATGTCTCTGGTGCTAGTTCGCAGTTCGGGCATAAATCTGAGTTTACTCTTCCGAACTTATGGGCGACTTGGCGGAGGAAAGGCGCTCTGTTGACTCTCATTCTTGACAGTGCTACCTCTTCGGATCTTGAACGGTCTACCGCTCTGTTTAGCATCTTCCCGTTTGTGCACCTTGGATGGAAGCTGTTCTGTACCTTGGTGTAATTGTAGATGCTAACTTTTTTCAACAAGTTCAGATAGTAAAATTGAAAATAAGGAGGCATTGTGATATAATTTCAAAAATGAGATACTATGTACCAGCTGCGATCTTGCTAAAGTACTATCAGTCGATATGAACCAATATTATAATATGCTTTGCTCGTCTATGGTGGTACGAGTTTTGCTTTTCGAATCAAATTTGAATGCAAATTTTAATTGTTCCTATGATTTATTTCAAAAGGAAATATGATTCAATTACACTTTTATTGACAACAATTTACTAGCAGTGCATGCATTATTTGTGTACGATGTTACAGTTTAATTTCAGCTCGTTGAAGCAAAATTTTTGAATTTTCTGTTTTCTATAAAAAGTTTCGAATATAAAACAAAAATTTCAAATTATACAACATTAATTCCCCCATTCTGTAAAAAAAATGAAAATTTGTTCCAACTAACAGAGGAGCGAAATTACTGAATACGATGAAAATGTTTTTTTTTGCCGATGATTATTGGAAAAATTGTGAGGCAATAAGTGAGGAAAACGTTTTCGCTGATAACGAATAATTTTAATCTCGGAAATAACGAATTGGTATAGCATGTATTTCAGATATTCAGTATATTAAAATGTTCAGTTTACCGTATGTAAATGCTTTCAGATAATCTTTTTAGGGTGGCAAATCTACCCTAAAAATGAACTTTCAAATCCTTGTAGTTTTCGAGATATCGCATTTTTTCAAAAACTTGGAATCTTCCAAAAAAAATTTCAAAAAATGAAACAGTAAAAAAAAGTCTCGTTCTTAGCGCATATTGCTAGATAATCATTTATTTACTTGGGCTCATCTAACCGCAATTTTATGCCTTGTTCCTATTCCTTTCAATTTTTATTATAATTCGCATTTTCAAAAACAAAATGTAAAAATTCGATTTTTTGTTTTCTTTTTGTTTATCCATTAATTATTGAGGCTATTGAGACCTCGTATAATTTTATGGATAACAGCTTGCCCTGAGTTTATGCTACCGAGTGCTGCTATGATTTTTTCTAGTTTTAACTGTAATTAATTTGAATAGAGGGTAGGCCTTATGTAGGAGCGCAATGCGCGTTTCGTCTATCCTGTCCAATTTTTGTTATGAATTGAATGGTTTGATATCAGTTTTTTATAACTTGTTGAAAATAAATTGATGATTGCTGTTGGTTTCTACTTGATTTTGGATAATTAAATTCTTCTTCAGCAGCAGCTAGCACAGCAAAATACTAAATTCGGTAGCATAAACTCAGGGCAAGCTGTTATCCATAATATTATACGATGTCTCAATAGCATCAATAATTACACTAAAGGAAGAGGCTTACGATGTCGATTTCAATATTCCAATTTTTTCATAGAGTAAGAAAGGAAATATAATGGCTATAATTGTATTGGTTTCAATGAATCGGCAGCTTCATTTTGTTAGTGAAGTTTCAAGTCAGTGGGATCTATTCGTTTTGGAATGGGTTCTGTTGCTCTGTTGTGTTGGCTTGAGGAGGTGGTGCCTGTTGTTCCATGCCAGATGGGTTATTAGAAGCCCCGCCCCTCACGCGGCTGTCCAGGTTAGATGCGCCCTTGGGTCGTGTGATTAGGTTCTGAGTGACCTCTCCCTTTCTGTCCATGAAATGGTACACTCCCAGTAGAACATACACAGTGCGCAGGAAGAAGTTGGTAAAGAAGGCCATCATACACAGAATATACTCAAACCTGTGCAACAAAAAATGATGATTACAATCATAGTTTTCGAACTATTGTTGGTAAATTGTCGACGGGGATACAAAAACTATCACTTATACTTGTAATACCATTGATGTCGACCAAAAAATGAACGAAATCAAACCTGTTGTTTAATTGGGAATTGTTTTTTGAATCTTGGAAGTGGAACGAGAGTGCGAATATGTCGAGGATGAACCCAAGTGCCTGTAGCACAGCTAGTAAGAAACACGACTGGGCGCTGGTCTCGTCGTACATTGCCCACAGGAACATCAGTGTGGTGATCGTGTAGTGGTACAGGTAGGCCGAGGGTAGAAATGGGTACATGAGGCTCCATGTTGCGAGGAACTGGAAGATAGTGAAGAAGGCGCCGATGCTAGGAAGAGGGTATCCGTCCACGAACATTTTAATTTTTAATCCAAACTCAACAGACATTTTGCTTACTATGCACTCACTTTTAATTCAACCTATCTAAACTGAGCTGTTTAATGTGTTGCAACGCGACGGCAGTCAGTTTGAAAGCATACTCCTAATTCTTTGCTATATTTACCTTGCCGTGTTACATTTGATTCTCATTGTCCTACAAAGCGGGATCAGTGCCAGTTTTGAAGCAAACAATGCATGTTTGAGTGTCAAAATTCTTCCCAAATCTAGCTCTACAGTATATTTATAAGAAGTAAACGCGCAAAATTGTCTGATTTCAATTATTTTGTTACTTAAATGATTATTTGCTGCAGGTTGATGCCTTTTTGGTATTCTCCAAGCCTAACTAAATTGTAAACGAACCTTTCATACAATCTATGTTGATAAGTTTCTGGCTTGAAATTTGAATATTTCTTTTGTTATTATGGCGACGGATAACTTCTGATGGTTTACCTGTACATCTTCAAAAGCTGCAATAGATCCATGATGATGAGAAATCTGAAATGCAATTTGACGCTAAAAAAATAATGCATAAAGCGATTGAAGTTCAACCCAACCCGTCTTCCCAAAAAGACGATAAAAATCATTCTTCTTAAAAGGTTTCGGATTTCCAATAATTTTTTCAGTTCAACATGCGTGCGGCCAAGTTTTGTCGGCTTATTAAGTGGATTTTGTTGACACTGGGTGTACTGGATTTTGTTGACACTTTTCCAACAGTCTGTTAGGTATGTTCCGAAATTCATAGATTCGCTCTTTGTTTAGGGTTATCCAATTGGTTAAGGGTTTTCGGAGCTAACGTTAAAGTTCCATCCGAAAAACAAGAGCGCAGTCATGGGATATTTTGTTGGTTTGAGTTAATGAAAAATTGGCTTGAAATTGAATTCTGGCGGCTGAAAAAGCATTTTTTTCTTCAAAAAGAAAGTCAAGCTGTAAACAACATCCTTTGGGCTGCGAAAGACTGATGTTAGACAGAGGAGTAGGGGGTGTTCTCATGAGGGAGGGACCGAATGATTGAAATGGTTTAGCCAATCAGAATTGTTAGACATTCCTATTGCCTAAATGACTTTTACACAAAACCGAATTCTTTTTTTTATTAGAAAATAAATTATAGCAGCTTATCAAAGAGTTGCTGTACAAATCTTAGATATATATATATATATATATATATATATATATATATATATATATATATATATATATATATATCTCAAATTTTTTTTGTTTTATATTTCATTGGTAAAAACATCTGATTAAGGGTTTTTCCAATACCCGACATTGATTTCGCACTAGTTGAAACTTCATGTTTCTGCTTATTTTCTAATTGGTCAATATTAATTTAAATGGCCTCGATTTATTCGCTTTCTTCAAGATTTTTGCAATTTCTTTGAGATTTTTGAATACTCAGTTCTGATTGGCTCAAAATAACTGAAAAATAAATCTCCATCATTCAGTACTTTCATCATGAGAGACGACGCCTAAGCTGGTACTTAAATACCGCGCTCGAAACTATGCCGATCAAACGAATTTATTTAAGAGTAATGAACGTAGTGCAGACTGTTATAGGTCTTGCTGATTTTTTTTTTCAGGAAAAGTCTTAGAAGACTCTAATAACTACAGATGTGCATTCATACATATTGATGCATTTATGAATGCACTTAGGTATTTATGCACTTTTTGAATTCAATAGAAATTCATCTGCTAAAATTGACGTAAATAGCACTCTCCAAATACGAACGTGGAAACGGTGCAAAAAATCGTGAATGATTTCTTGTTTCGGAAGTGGAATTTAACTTTTAATTTTCCAGTGGAATAAAAGCTTTACCTGTTGATCCAGTGTTCTCTAGTTGGGTTCATGTTATCGAAAAAGCGCCAATCATAAATTGTTCTTTAAATTCAAAGAGCTTAAAGGGCATGTATTTTTTTCTTCGAAATTCGAAAGTTGAGATTTTTCAAGAAAGTCAGTGTTTTTTTATGTTTACTTGCGTTCATTACTCTTTTCCAATCTTCGATTGGCTATGTTTTTACATTAACTCGATGCTAAATTTGCGTTTTGATGGTGAACAACTTCTTTTAGGGAAAAAAATTTATGCAAAAGTAAATACATTACAGCTACATAATCTATTCATGCTTGGGGGTGTGGCTTAATTGATTTAGCTCAGTTCATTTAAACAATCGAGAACTATCTTTGTCGGCACGTAATTTCTGACTGTTTATCACTAATTCACCTCTTTAGGAAAAAATTTAACAAGTTGATTATTCGAGTTTGATTTCTTTCCAGTTCAATTCAATTTCATTTGCTAAATAGCAGTCTCATTACGCTCTCCAATAAGGAAAAAACAAATGGAAAAAAAAAGTGACTGGTTTTGTGAGTTGCAAAATGGAATTTAGTTTTTCGAAATTCGAATTTATTTTCAAATTCGAAATTGCTGTGTTGAAAATTGTGTTAAAAATAACCATTTTTTGGTTTCTTTCTGTTTATTGACGGATGTAACTGTCTGTTGGGGATGTTTGTTATCATATTTAACGAACTAAGTGCTAACTTTTGGTCTCGTGAGTTGTCAAAGGCTTGTGAAGGGCTCTATGAGTTTATTTTTTTTTTTACAATTTTTAACTTCTTTGATAGTTAGATTGAAGCTGAGCGGACAATGAGGCCATTCATCCTACTTATGTAGATCAATCAGATCTGTAGATCTACGCATATTTTGGTCACTCATAAATGATAATACTCGAAGCTAGCCATTGAATTATGAAGCATTTGGTGGGGGGGGGGGGAATAGTACGTGTTACTTTTTTGTTCCTTGTTAAATGCTGGGTAGTAGCGAACAACTTAGATGAGTACTCACCAATGAATTAGATGCCGCGAACAGAATTTGAGGCTCCTTGTTGCAATTAATTTGTAAAGTTTATATGGGCTTTAAGTTGAATTTGTGCTGATCAAATGTAGATATGTTTGTTCGTTTATGCGTTCGGCATGGAGCTCTAAACTGAGTTACCTTAACTTAATAAGGAATCGCCGAAATTAATAAGTATTTTAAATATAATTGGAAACGAGTTGAACATTAACTTATACTGTAGTAAGCTTAATGGTTATGTTTATGCCAAATAATTTGTAAGATGTTAAACAGTTTGTTGCTATAAAGAAGATGAACTTCAAAATTACCACAAAGTTCATCCGAAATAAACTAACATTATGTCAAGAGAACGAAAAGGCTACAAAAACAACAATGAAGATGACGGGTTGAGAAATAATAACAGAATGACATGTTTGTTTCTAATATTTTAGAGCCCTCTGAAGGCACGGTACAATGCAAGGGCGTGGACCAGCTCGGGAGCCGATTCACCCACTGTATCATCCTCGACCACATCTTCCAAAAATAACTTCGTAAGGTCTAGAGGGTGTTGTAAATATTCATATGAGAAAATCAGTTTTTATACATCAAAATAAAAAAACAGCTTTCTGAAAGACAATCTCAAAAAGACCATCGGTCACGAATGAAGACCAGTGCATTTGAAAAACTGAAGCTTGTATTAATGATACCGAAGGAATTTATGGTAATTGTTTTGATCTGGTTTATGAAAGAAATGAAATCACAAGTGTGATTCATTAGGTTTATTTCGATCATTTTAATTTCGATTTTTCAGCAATAGGGCTCTTGATATAGTGCATTTTTCCGAGGACGAGGACTATTTGATGCACAAAATCCTGGTATATTTTTGATACTCTCATAGATGCAGTTTTATAGGATTTCGACGATATTGACGTTGATGAAGACGTATCTAATAAAACGTCAGCGATTCAAATAGAAGCAGCCAAGTCAGTTCGATACAAAGGTGTCTCATCAAACGTATCTTCGCTACTTCAGGAGGAAAGTTCAACTAAATATGATACTACTGGTACCACATCCCAATTTGCAGTACCTGTCATGCTAGCGTCCAAGACTGGTCTAGACAGGTTTGAAGCAACCCAGTTCTTGGACGAAGGGCAGATAAATGCGGAATCTGTCAAAGTGTCCCGCAAAGAAAAGGAGGTGAGTTGTTTGCTAATGACTGCTATTTCACACAAGCCAGCTACTGAGAGTCGTATTTTATTACGAATCCACCTTTTTTCCGACCAAACTCGCAAATGAAAGTTCTGATTTGGTTGCATTTTTAGCATTGTCAGTTAAATAGCATCTGTTGCATCATTTTTATTGGTGACTTTTTTGTATAGTGAAAAAGTTACTGTGGCGCAGATGCAGATGTGAGGACGTGGCATTTTTAATCTCCAGGTCGAAAGTTCGATTCCGGCACGTAAAAAAGTATTATTTTCCTAATAATTCGCTTTTTATTGTTCCGACTTTCGGTACGAAAGTAACGGAATGTTTGTGCTCGGGGTGGGTTTTTTTTCTTCAGACAAATTTCGACTTTTCAACTAGCCATTTTTGACAAAATTTTTTAATATCATTTGAAAAATATTGTTGTCTTGTGCTCAAATTTGAAAAGATGTTTCACCTGTGATCATTTTTTGTAAAGTTACCGGGGTTTAAAGATTGCCATTTTGGCCAATTTGTGACATCGCTAATAACGCGTAAGCGGAGAGTTAACCCGTCTTATAAATTGTTCCAAATTGGGTGAAAGAAGCTTATTTGCCACAATTAATTTGTTACAAGGAGCGAATCTATCCTTTTGTACTGTTTATGGCGTGTGGTGGGATGATTTTCATTAAAAAAATTCAAATTTCAGAGAAAACATTTTCATTTTGTTTTATTTCATTTAATTTTTTGATGTTATTGCTTCTCGATAAACCTTAAAAGGCAGTCGGAACAATCAGGGCTTCGCCCTAATACGAGCAGCCTTGTTTTACTTTTAAACCCTTTTTGTCGTTTCAGCGCATGTGAGCCTCGACTCTTGTGTTGATATGACTCGGATGATCAAGTTTTTCCTGCTATTGTGATGCTTTGAAAATTGCACTGATTTTAGATGGTTTACCATGCGTTGATAAATGTTGATTCATTCAAGAAAAAATTTCCAAGTTATTTTAAGTATGCTGCCTTACAAAAAAGTAGATTAACAGTAATGAACATACTGAGTATTCTTACATAGGCTTTGGTGATTTTTTTGTGTTTTTTAGGAAAAAGTCATAGTATTGTTCTTGCTCAGTTTGAATTTTTCGTTGTTTCACTTTTATTTTCTTTTTCGGTTAACTTCATTTCCTTTGTTAAACAGTAAAACAACTATCAAACAGCCACAAAAAGGGTGATCGGTTGCTAGTTTCGATTTCCCTATGAAATACAACTTTACCTAATGATCCAGTTTTCTCAAATTGGTTTAATTTTTATTAAAAATCACCAGACATAATTTGTTCGTGAAATACAAAGAGGTTCAAGGGCATATGTTTTTTTTCAAATTCGGAAGTTGAAGTTTTTCAAGTCAGTTTTTTTTCTGTTTCCTTGCGTTCTCTACTCTTTACCAACTGTCAGTTGGCTATGCTTTGAAAGTTTCCATCATTTCATCCCCCAAAAAACCACGGTTAAGTTTCACTCCCTTTAGTTCAACTCCTTAACAACTTTGCCTTTAAAACAAAAGTCTTGAACCGTTGCTATAAGATGGCTTTTTTTCGACGACACTGAAGTGCATCCTGGTTTGGATCATAATTTGTGGTTTTACTGGTAAGAAGTTTTAGCTGAGAGCAAAAGAGAACAATTCTGCAGGTAGCAAGGTAAATCCTTGATTTTAACGACTCCCCAGATATCTGGAATAGTTTTCGTTAAAATAGATACAATTCAAAAAAATGGAATTTATTATTATTTGAACATCTTGCACCCAAACGCCATGTTAACTGAATGCTCCAGTTGTTGTTCCGACTTTTGAAGAAAGGGACGGAATATTATGTTCTTGGGTGGTTTTTTTCTCCAGACAAATTTCGAGTTTTAAGCTAGCAATTTTTGACGGGTTTTTTAAAATACCATCTGAAAAGTATTGCAGTTTTTAAATACAGTCTTTACAATATTGATGAAATCAAATGGATGAAAGCTGCGATTATCTCATCGTAAAAATTAGAATATTTTGAGTGTAGTCATCCTATCACAAGCGAAATTGAATCATTCCAAATTGAACTGAGGCATGCATTTTGCTCTTATTAATACTGACGCAATACAAATTCCGTCAAAAATTCCTAGTTACAATTGCGATCACCTTAGTGTATTATTACGAGCCTTTTTTTTCTAACCTATCTCGCAAATGAAAGTGTTAATTAAAAGTGTTCACTTATTTGGAAATTTCACTGTAGCATTGGAAATTGCATAGCATTTGTTCTCTGCTTTATTTGTGGCTAGTGTTTGATGACTTTTAAGCTTCCGTGGCTGAGTGGTTAGTCTGCGAGACACTTAATCTCTGGGTCCAGGTTATATCTCAGGAGGCGGATTTTAACTAATTAGAGGCTTATTTCTAATTTTTATTATTGCATAGAGCTGCTTTTTGTCGTGTTCTCGCAAGTGTTTAAATTTGTTTAGGAAAAAAAATAGTAAAAAAAATTCCATCTTTTTTATCTAAGCGAGAGCAATAATTTTGATGCCAAATAGTTTAGAGATAAGGTTTCTTCAAATTGGCGTACATAAACACATGAAAGTCCTATGGCGAAGATTCTGTATTAATGATGGTTTGGCGTATTAGTTGATCGAACGCAATTACCGTTTTCCAGTGAGGCTTCAAATTCAGTTTTAACTTTGAGATAATGTAATCAGTATAGAAATTCAGGTTTGTTAATTAGAGGATTAAATCGGTGTCAAGTCGTCGCGGAGTGAAGTTGTGCCGAGTGAAATAGTAGGGAATGAAATAATGGCACGTCTAAAAAATAAAACTAATGAAAAGTGAGTTCGTATGGACCTAATTATGTAGCACACCTTTTTATAAGCTCGCAATTGACCATTTATTGCATCTATCTGACGAATTATTCTTTTTGTGTTGCGAATGGTTAAACGAAAATTTGCTGTCAGAGCGTCACCGAACTACGAAGATTGTGTAAAATTAATAATGATAATAATTGGATACCGAATCATCGGATGTGTGCACTAAGAGCAAGCTGTAAATTTGTGCCGCTTATGAATATTGAACTTAATGTCAGATTTCTGTTTCAGCTCTACACAGTGGTGCGAAGTGTCAAGTCGATGCAAACGACCTTGGAAGACGGAGAAAGTCAGATGTTCAGTGAAGACATGCAGTACATGCTGGAAGGACTCGGAGGTCCAGGAGTCTCACTGTCGACCAGATGTCTTTCCCTTCTCTCCATGGCCACAAAAGCCACGCAGTCCAACTTCAGGGTTCATTTCAGGGCCCAGTTAATTCTGCCCCGTATCTGTATTCTAATGAAGGATGCACCTGTTCATCCGGCATTAGCACTGGCGACTTCCCTTCTACTATACGTGCTCAGCAGGGATAAGATCCCACTACATCTGGACATTTACGCTCTAGCTCTCGTTATACGTCTAATCAAAAACGAAGAAACAGCAGATTGGACTTCAAATCGGATCAATGCTACGAACTCGGACAAGGAGAAAAGTGAAAAGAACGAGCTGTTCAAAGTGAAGACTAAACTAAAGAAGGTGTTAATCAGCTTGCCTGATTCTGCTTCCAAGTTGCTGTGTCTATCAGAAGAGGTTTCACCCTCTGCACTTTCTCTAGAGGTGCTTTTATCAGTCTACTGTGAAAAGTCAAAATGGACAGATGGCTTCAAAACACAGATTATGAAAAGTGGTGCAATCGAATACGTCGGAAAAGCATGTAAGCCTTGTTTTCCATTCAAGTGTTATTGTATGAATCAATTTCTTTATTGTCACAAGGAACGAAATGGAGACTTTTTGATGTTGTGCGGTTTTTATTCTGGGAAAGTCTCAAAATTTGATTGAAGTGAAACTGAGTCAAATCAGGAGGGCAAATTACGCTGTTCAATCACAGAATTTAGAATGGCGTTAAAATGGATTAGAAATGGGTTAGTTAAAATGGGTTAGAATGGTTATAACATCGAAAATTGATAGTAGTTTTGTTTGATTTTCCTGTAGAATAAACAAATTACTCAATTGATCCAGTTTTCTCTAAAAGTGTTAGTTTTGTCACAAAAAATTCATATGGAGTTTTAATATGATATATGATTAATATAATATGATATATAAATATGAACATATGTTTACCCTCATTTTTCTCTGCCGATGGTTTGATTTTAAAATTTGTTCTGAAGCTAATTTCCATTTCAACAACCAGATGGAAGGTAAATCATGATTGGCTTGAGTTAAAAAAAAATGGTGGGTTCCAGTTCAAAATGCATTTCAGTTTTTATATTTAACAGCGGAATCAAAGGTTTAGTTTTCTCACAGTAAGTTGGTGATATCAAGAAACGCTCGCGGACAAAATCCCCCACAATAAAAAAATCCTTCGATAAAATACTTCCAAAAAACCTTTGAACTAAATTCCCCATAGGACTAAATACCGCATAGGATAAAAGCTCCCCGTTGTAACTGCCTGTTTAATATCTGTCAATATCTCGTTAATTTCAAATTGAAAAGGATTATGCACAATTTTACACTTTTTACATTATTTGGATTAAATGTAGACACTCTCAGTGCCGATGCAGTGACACAGCAGAAGCTCTACAGTCTTTTGGGGGCAGAAGAACGGGAAATGCTTGAGCTCCATATACAGAGACTACTCCGCTGCTCAACTCTGATCGAAAATGTGAGTGATCTTTTTATGCAAGCATAGAGCAATGAAATTTTTTGTCTCAAACGTTGCTATCCGTACCCTACGAACAGTAAAAGTGTACAGGTCACAAAAAACGTGATCGACTTCTAGTTTCGAAAGTGGAATGTAAATATCAGATTTCACAGCGGATTAAAATCTTAACGTATTGATTCAGTTTTCCCAAATTGGGTTAATTTCATGAAAGAATTGTCAATTATAAATTGTTCTAGAAATTTAAAGATGTTTAAAAGGTCATCTATTTTATCTTCGAAATTCGAAAGCTGCGATTTAAAAAAAAAAACAAGTCATTTTTTTTCTGTTTCTTTGCGTTCATTTTTCTTTTTCAACTGTCAGTTGGCTATTTTCATCTCATAAATCTATTTTCAGGATGGAGTTATGGGTCCGAAACGCTCAAAAAATGTTGCTCCCTAAAAATGCTCGTGAAATTTTTAGCAACTTTTATCATGATCATGTTTAATTTCAAGCAAGCTAACCCGATTTGAGAAAAACGGGGTAGGAAATTTTCACCAAAATGTTTTCTTTATTAGGAAAAATAAGGAGTGCCAGCAATTTTATATCAAGGTCAAAAGAATTTGCCGCACTTGTTTTGTTCACCACATCATTAAAAATGGAAGTAGGAGTGTTTTTCTGTTAAATTGAGTAGATACTTTGAGAAAAAAATTTTGAAACAGTGCTCTGAGAAAATAATTTTTGATACGTTTACTGCAGTAGTAACTTCTAATTGTAACATTTTTGTCAATAAGAGAAAAAAGCTAATTCTCTTTCGTAAAATATCAGTGCCAGGCATTCATTTTCATCAATGCCTGGCATTCATTTTCGCCAGTGCCTGCATTTTTTCGGATACCGTGGCCACCCTGAGCTTAAGTTTTTTGTGGTAATTTTGATAAACGTAATGAAGTTTCTTATATAGGTCTTGGTTATTTTTTTTTTCAGGTTTTTGTTTACGCTAAATTTTGATTTTTCGCGGATTGACTTTAGTTTTGTTCAGTTCATTCACATTGTTAAAAGAAAGTCAAACTCCATTATCGAAGAGAAAAACAAGTTAAAGATCACAAAAAAAACCTGATAGACTTCTTTGGTTTTGAAAGTGGATTTAATGTTCAGATTTCCCAGCGGTTTTAAAAATTTACCTATTGATGCAGTTTTATCAAACTGGGTTAATTTTGTCAACAAAAGCACCAATCATAAACTTTTCTTATAATTCAAAGAGCTTTAAAGACATAAATCAATTTTCTTTCTGTTTCCTTGCGTTGCTTTTTTCCAGCTGTCAGTTGGCTATGTTTTCCTTTTCATTTTCTTTGTTGGAAGGAAGGCAAACTCCACTATCGAACAGCAAAAGTAAAGCTCACGGAAAACGTGATCGACCTCGAGTTTCCAAAGTCGATTTTTACACAAGTTTAGCTTGTGTTATAGTATGAACTTTCTTTTTTTTCCAACCTAAATCGCAAATATTGTTGCAATGCAATTGTTGCGACAAAATGTGTTCATTTTGACCCAGCTATTAAGTAAAGCCAATACTAAGATATTAATACATACTAGTATATTACAAATAGCACTTAAGCTTCAAGGAATCATGGATATGTAGCGTAGAGGTAGGGAAGGAGTTCAGCAGCAAAAAAGGAAGGTTCGAACCTGGGCAGGGTCGGATGTTTTTAATGAATTTTTTCGTATACTAGTTTAAATGCATCCGCTCTATAAATTGAGGCATGTTAGTTGGTAAATTACTTTTATCGAATTGACTGGTACAGCTAATGCGTCTTAATTGACTTGCGTTACTTAGCAATTATGTAGACTCATAATTGGCGTGCGTCACTAATGAAGTTTTGTAGACTCAAAGTTTTAATCATTCAGTTTTTCCCAGTAGCGTTATCAGTCATATTTTTGCTTGTGTATGCGAAGTGCAACCTCGCATGTGTAATTTTCTCTGCGGAACAAAAATTTACTTACCTATTGATCCAGCTGTCTCAAATTGGGTTATTTTTTCATCAAGAAAGTTTCATTCTTAACTGGTTCTTGAAATTCAAAGAGCTTCAATGCTGCACATTTTTGTTTGAATTTCGAATGCTGAAAATTTTTGAAAAAAGCTAGGAATTTTTTTTCTGTTTCCTTGCGTTCATTGACTCTTTTTTAACTGTATGTTGGCTATGTTTTTTACCGGTATTTACAATTTTTGCAGCTTTGACTCTTCTAAATGTATATTCATTAAAAACTACTAGAAAAATAGAGAAATTAATAGTAGAAATTTGAGAATAAAACCATAAATTAAACAAGTTGTTCCGACCATTTGAAAATGTGAAGGAACTTTGTATTCGGGTGTGTTTTATTTTTTTTCTTTTTGTTTTCTTCGCAAAATCAGATACTTCAAATAATAATCAGTGGAATTGGTCGAGTGATATATCATTTTAAAGCCCTTTCAGTCGTGATTCGAACGGCTTTAAAAAAATTTTTCAGTGTCGAGAAAAACAGGTTCGAAATTTTTTTGATTTTGGTCTAATATCGAGCTGATAAGGTGAGCGTGCAGGCTTTCAGCAGCTTATTTAGCTTAAGTTTAGCCATGAAAACTTAGTTTTTTTCGAGTAAAGTTTGTTTTAGGAGTTTTTAGCGAGATTTTGGGAATCAGAAACTTGAAAAAATTCAGAACAATTTCTTCCAAAAAAGAATTGAAAGGAATTGTTTTTCCTAATTTTTTTTTCGTTTTTCTAGTCATTTTTCTACAAAAACTTCTTTCCAATTGTTCTATTTGACTATGACTGTCGCATTTGTCCAATTTCTCTTTTCGTTCAAATTTTTTATCACATTACTCAGAAAAAAGGGACACTCATTTGAAAAAAAAAATTGTTTTTTCTAAGACTATCGTCAGAACATTGTTTGCTTCTTGCACAGTAACCGGCTATCCTTGTTTAAAATTCAATGTGAAGCATGGTAAAACTGCTATTTTATGATATTCAGGCAAGTGATGTAGTAAGTAGTTCTGTTGAGAAGTTTGTTGGCTTACAAAGGTTTCGGGTTCTTGCAAATTAAAACGTGCTAATTTTTGCTGTAGCTACATGCAACCGGCAATCTTTTAAACGTGAGTTTTATGACTCAATCTAGATCATTGGCTGCTGCTTGTCTTTAGAGCGGGGGTTCATGAGTGAGTTGAATGGAGCCGTTTTTACAATAAAAACAAAATCCAGGAGAAGAGAAAAGGGATCAATTGAGCAATCTCCCCCCGCCCCCCCCCCCCCATAATGACCAATTGAGCTATCTCCCCCCACGCAAAAACGGTAAAACGCTACAAAAAGACGTCATCAAACGCAAGAAGATGGTTGATATGTTCGTAGCACGCAATCAATTGACCGATTGAAGTTTATTTTATATGAGTATCGAGAAAAATTTTGAAAAAGAAAAAAAAATCAAATTTTATTTAAAAAAAATTCGATTCTTCGATTCTATAATTTTGTTAACTTTTGTTTGGGTGACCATTGCCTCATCAGAAAGCGAATTATCAGGGTTGATGCTCTAGCCTTGGATCTGGATATTAAACATGGCTCTCCTCAGCACTTTAATATTGTGTGCAAAACACTTATCATCCTTTGAGTACAGAAAAAAGTAGCTTTATTTGCCTCAAATGTATTGATTCTTTTTCACTTTGATTGTAATTTTTGAGCTTTGATATTGTAAATTTTGGCCTTCCTCATTCGTTGGAGAATCTGTTTATGATTTCATATCATCCAAACTATTTTCAAGAGTTCATAAACATGCTTCAAGAGCCTATTAAGCTTTATCCCCCCCCCCCCCCCCCCAGCGAGAATGGAGGGGGGGGGGGGGGGGAGATTGCTCAATTGATCCGAGAGAAGGAACTATAATTTGGTGATACGATATTTTAGGTTACGCACAGTCATCATGAGAACCAGAAGCAGTTGATTCAAAATGATGGCATTCGAATTATTCAGTCTGCGACCAGGTAACTTGTGCTGCTTTTTCGTAGTTTAATATCAATTATTTTGCAAATAATTGCCAATCTATGAGCCATAAGCAATTTGAATTTAACGATTTCGTAGTCTTTAAGTTAGAATCTTTAAGTTATAATTGTAAAATAATTGTATAGAACAGTTGAAATGAAACATACGCTTTCCTTTGATTGATTGTTTTTGATGAAATTAAGTGTGTTTCAGAGTTTTCAAGTTTCTTGTTAAATCAGTTGGTGAAAACAGACATGAATCCGAAAAAACGGACGAAGCAAAACCTTCCACTTCTGAGAATGATCATTCAGAATTGGACAATTACAATCTACAGCCATCAAAAGCAGAACAAAGTTTAGACAGCGATCAGTTGCAGTTCTCATTGCAAGATTGCCTCATCGAGTCTCTTGGAATTTGTCTCAACCTCACAAATGACTCAGGTAGGTTTTTGCTGGTCATTCTAGCAGTCAGTGCTCCGCTGTCTGCTGTCATTGTCAATTGATCACTCATTTCATACAGACTTGTTTGTTTAGAATTGGGCTCCACCAAAATGGGAAATGAGACTGAAATGCTTGCTTGCCTTGTCGATTGTGCTCTTCATATACCAGGAAAAGTTTCATCTGCCAAAAAGTTCGATATCACCATTATGGTATGTGGAAAATAAATTCGAAATAATACTAATCTTTATTCAACACCATTTGACCGAATTCTAGCAAGTTTAAGTAAACCTACAGCTTCGTACGACGTTCTTTTGTGATGATAAAATTAAATAACTTCAACGGTGTTGTTTATAGTTAAATCTGACGGCTCTTTTCAATTCCGCCCCCCCCCCCCCCACCTTTCCATTTCAAGTTTCAAAAACTACTTAAGCCTTGCATAATGCAATGAAACTTGACAAGATGAACAAACTAATAAGTGGGACTTACTCGGCCAAATTAATTTAGGTCTCTATTCCACTTTCCCCCACAGTTGAATTTCAGTTTTGAAAAACCAATTATACATTGTAAATTCAAAAAACCAATAGAAAAAATTGCATAGTGAACAAACTAAACTATTTTGAACATACTTGTTGTTCATAACTTACATCGTAACATTACGCGCTCAGCCAAAATAACTCATAAAAACAACTGTAAAAATGATAACTTTGAAAGGAGGGGAAGTTGAAAAGAGCCAACCTGCCTTGTCTTTAGAGTCTGGGCTTGCTGATTAATCTGCTGGACTGCAGTCCATTAAACAGAAGACAGTTTATGGTGCTGAAAACCAAAGTACCGCCTGGCGTACTCATGCAAAGGGAAAGTCACAAATCGAAAACGAGATGCAAAAACAATCCTATGAAGGATGTACAACAGAATGATAGGAACAGAGAAGTTTCTGCTGTGGAGGCCTTTGTGCTGCTCTTTTGCAGCCAGGAACAGCTGGTTGAAAAGATAGAGGCGGAGGAGAAGCTGAACGAAACAGATGCAGATTCACACTCCAATGATGAAATGACGAGCGGCAAGGAATCGGTGCGGAGAAGCCAACGCAGAAGAACCAAACCAGCGGCCACTGATTCAGCTGCGTTTGCAGGCGCTGAATACAATGATAGAAGAGCAAGTTCTGGAGGCAACGGATTTGACTCTTCGAGTGATTTTGAATGGTCAGATGATAAAACGCCGATGGGAAATGGAACCAATAAGCAACAAACATTTGATGACGAGTTCGTGGAAGATGAAGAAGGCGGTCTTGTTTGGGTGGGCAAGAAAAAATCCGGCGCAAACAAGTAAGATCATTCTTATTTCTCGTAATTCGAATCAGTTGTGCAAGTAATCAACTTAGTGTATGTCATTAATTCAGATCTTTCATACATTTGAAAAGACAAGTTACATCCGAGGTTACAGCTTTCAAAAGGTTTTGAATATTTGTTTAATATCTGCGCTGAGAAACATTGCTACATAGTCGAGTGCATGGAGCAGGTATTGCAGTAGGCACTGGTCGGCTTAAAGATCGAGGCTTTAGATGCTTCAAAGATATTGAGTCTAAATTTTCAGTTCCTCGGACGAAAGCAGTCTGTGTCCGAAAAAGCGGTCGGAAATGGAACAACAGCAGCGATTGGATGTTCTCGAGCAAGGTAAAATAACAGATAAATTTTAACTTTGTAATGTCGGTTTTAACAAATCCCAGAGGAAGCTGGTTGGCTGACTTTATACGATACCATGTTCGTACGTTTGAAACATGGTTTTTTCTGAACATTTTTTAACATATATTTACTGATATTATCAATCCAACTTGGTAATGAAGTTTTTTTTTCAACATTTAGCAGGTATAAACAAAAAGAACCGAGCAAACTCGCTTTCCACGCTTTTTGTTTTTTTTTCATGGAAATCCTAAAACTATTTCATCTGTTGTTTAGCCTTGTGTGCCGCTGGACGACACATGGAGAGCTGTATGACTGCAGCCTATGCCGCACTCCTCATTGGCTGTATACTACAGGGAAACATGGTATGTAATATATTTTTTTGTTTTTAACATAAACAAAATGTCATTTCAAGTATTGATAACAGTTGAGCGAAATTATGTGAATTACGTGAAGTTGAAGTCTACATTTTTCGCTAAAAGAGACTAAAGAATATATCACGCAATTTGGTTGTTCTTAATGCAGAATAACGTGAAGACGGTGCTGCAGTTTGTACCCAGTGGCAACTTTAGCAGCATGATCAAACAACTAGAGAGACTGCACAAGTTCATGAGTCTGACCACGGCAGCTGACAGTCCCCTCATGGCCTCCATCTCAGACCAGATAACAGTTCTCACTGAGGCTAACCAGAAAGCAAGTACTCTAGAGGACACGTTTTAGCATGAAAATGGACGCACATGCGAACCACATTTCTGAACTGTATCTTGAACTAAATTCGTAGCAGTTTTAATGAGTCGTGTAATTAATTTGATTTTGAACTTTTCTAAATTTAATGGTAGTTTTCTATTCGTTTTGCGGGCGGTAAGTTATAACTGCTATAAGTTCGGAATTATAAAGAGTCGATAAACGTAGTGAAGACTCTTATATAGGTCGTGATTTTTTTGTTCAGGCTCAAATTTCATATTTCGTGGTTCGATTTTTGATTTCTTGTTCAGTTCAGTTCATTTTCTTAAGGAAGGCAAACTCCACTATCGAAGTACAAAAGTGTAAATGTCACAAAAAACGAAATCGAAATTTTTTAAGACTACTTTTTGTTTTCGAGTCAATGGGCATCTCTCCATTTGAGTGCGGCTTAGCGGCCGCTCACTAAATAAATTGTTTATTATCGTTCATTGAATCTTTTTCAACGGTCTGTTATATTAACCTCTGTGAACTTGAAACAGAAAAACAAAGGGTTTTAAAAAATTGATACAAACTTGTGGGGCCATTCGTTTCGCGCATCTGCAAGTTTTTACAAGTGAAATGGTTGTTCGCATTGTCTAATTGTCAGTACACAAGTTGAGGTCATTTTGCGGTATCCTTTTCTTTCCACCTATTTGGACGAAATTTTGAGTTTTGTCTAAGAACCAAATGGCGTGCGTAATTCGATCAATATACATGTTACTCACAATTTGAATTTAAGTGAGCGTTTGATTTTTTGAAGGCTTTAGTTTTGTTTCTCTGAATTAAAATTATATTTTTCAGTAGAAAACTGCAGAAAAAAATCATCAGTTTGAATCGCCAAATGAAAAGGGATATATTAGTTTGCTTCATGAGAAAAAAGTTAGATAGATGTGGTGCTATACTTTTATACATACTGCACTTCGGCAGAAAACCTCATTACCCTTGCGTTAAGCAAGGGTATGGCAATCGGGTACTAGACTTAATTTTCCGTAAACAACTTTTTCACAGAATTATCATTTAAGTAGTAATGGTAAGCTGGACCCAAACAGTCGGAATTTTCTACTTCTGATATGCTCAAGTTTTTAAAGGTCAGTTAAAACTACCAGCAATTAAGTAGTAACTGAGAAAATACTCTTTCAGTTTGTAATTATTTTTCGGGTTCGTGGTTTTCGTCCTAGTTTTTGTCGGTTAATTTTCCGTTTCTTTTTTCAAACGCACTTATTTTCTTCCTGGAAGAGTTTTATTGGCTAAATTTCTAGATGTGTTTTGTTCCAATTCATACATTTTTCTACTGTAACTGAAAGTTCTGTAATTTGTAAATTTACCAAGCCTGATTTTGCATATTTTTTTTCGTTTTTTTTTTATCTTAATATTTAAACAGTTTTTCATTTCGGCTGAAACAATTTATACTGCGTAATTTCGAGGGCAAAAAAAATGTCATTGGCTTAGGTGCTTCAGTATAGATGCGTTGTAAAAACTTGAAATTTTTCCAAATGTTTTTTGACAACAGTTTTGTTTTCGACCCAAAATATGTCGCCTTTATTGCCGCTCGCTGAATAGTTTCCAATTGATCTAAGTCTGCTAATAAGTTTCATCCAATACAAACATGGAGTTTTTGTAGCTCTAATATTTCCAATTTTTTTAAGTTATTTTTTTCAAGTAGCTTTTTCAACTTGGTTTTTCAGAATTTTTTTGTACTTCTGTCTTCCATTGAAAATATTGTGAAACAATGTGTAGCGTCATTTTAAAATTTTCATGCTATTTCAACAATGACTGCTGTGTTCTGGCAGATGTTTTCATCAAAATTAGTTGCATTTTGAAAAAAAAAACTATTGAAATTTTGGGTGATATTTTTGGCTTTTGGACAATTTTTTTACGAGTCATTGGCCTTGTGTATCGCAAGAGGCGCGAAGCACAGCTTCGCCTCTCTGTAAAAAAAATGTTTTTCTTTTCACTGAAAAAGTATACCTTCTAATTGAAGGAAAAAAGAAACAAAATTATGCCAAAACGTGGAATGTTGATAAAAACGCAATCGCAAGAAGTGAGCACTGGACAGCTTTATGGAATTAACTCGTCAGAATTTTTTAATGCTAGATTATGTGCCATGAAATAAAATGGTTACCTAAAAATCGAAGACTGCTCAAAAAGAAGTCAAATTTAAAGCCAAAACTATTGATTATTTACTACTTTTAGAGAAACAAATACCAGTTAACGCAGGTATGGGGGTTGAAATTATATAAAATTATTATATTTATCTTACCTTTCAGCAATCTTATAATTTTCAGAAGTCAGCCTGGATTGACCTAACTTTGTGTGCTTAAAATTTAAACAACTTTAACTTTGTTTGCTTGTTTGATATGTAAAACTTAAACAAAAAAACATGTTTTTTAATCTCCAGATTACGTAACAATTTTTTTTTGGGATAAACACTCAAATAATTTTTTAAAAAGCTAACAATAAAAAGACCCGCAATGTTCGGCATTTTCTGCTAGTCTTTTCTAACTTTACCCGACGCTATATGGCCTTCGAACGTTTCAGTGGGGGAATTTTATACCTAACTTTTTAGATTTTATTTTCTCGTAAACTACCCCGCCAAATATGAGATGAAAAAGTAAAAAAAACAAGTTATTGGGATATCCAATACATTAAGCTACGCCCTAATTTTTTTGAGGAAGAGTTATGCGTTATGACCTAAATTTTTTTGAGTAATTCGAAGTTTTTACTTTTTGAAAACTATCCTGCAAAATACAAGATTAAAGGTTGAATCGCAAAACCAGTCATTCGACTCCTCATTGCATAATGCTCTGTCCTAAAGCTAAAAGATGAAGGTAATGACCATAGAAATTGATCAACTTAGAATTTTCTACCGGTTTTTGGAAATAGGTTTTTCTCAACTACCCTGGCAGATTTTACGACTTCAATCGAAAGCACAGGTTTTTTCTAATCTTGAAGTTTATCTAAAACTACCTTGCCAAATCTGAGATTAAAGATTACATTGGGAATACACTTAGTCACAAATCGTTACGCCACAAGTTTGATGCGCACTTGTGTGGAAGAACAAAAGAGCCAACTTGCGCGTGAATTTTTGGCTATTGATTGAATACGAATCCTCAGTGTCCAAGAAAGAACTTATGATGCGATCCGCGAATTTCTATCCATGCAAAATAATTACAAATCCTTAGATTGTTTGAATGTCTATCTAAGCCATATATGGCCAGCATTATCAAAAGCGTTCATTTTTGGAACTTGATCCAAACTATATATTATTATTGGTTATAAATTAGATATTTTATCCCTATAAAATATTAAATACTAACCAATCACACTCCATCAAACTAACAACCCACTTATTTGTAAGTGCTGAAATTACTTGTAATTTCAGCACCAGAGCATTTTAAATTTAACTTACAACCTACTTGCTTTCTCCAAGAGACCGACTCGTAACAAAACCAGTATACTCTAGATCTATTGAGACTAAGAGATATAAAAGTAAGATTAAGATCGGTATTAGACTAAGATGTTGCACGAATCTATCCGGCCGAAAATAAGATAGCGGGACGAGCAGACGGTGTACCTTATCTGAAGTTACTTTATGAGTTAGACATCCATCCCAACTCATCTGGTGCGACCATAAGTCTCGAATAAGACCTTAAGGAACAAAATAGCTTAGAACTAACCAAAAATAGATTAGACTTAGACAAAAAACCTTCTCAAAAATGTTACACGACAATAATTTAATTGAAATGTCTCTACGACTCAATAGATCAGAGCCATTATTCCGAACAATACGAGAATTACCCGGTATTGGAAAAAGACCTCGGACAAGAGACGATATACGACTACAACGGAACTTACCCATAAGTTTCTTGGTCGTATGGCAAAAGCCAACACGAACTTTTATATTTAGAGTTTTATTAGCAAAGAATTTAGATTTTCATTTGCAAACATAGAATCTTTGAAGAAAAATCTTCACCGATAATTTCAGGCGCTAACTTATTATTGTACAATACCGACTGATAAAAACAGCCCTAGTCGTTCCTTTTAATCTGCAGTAAATTTAAAAAGATATCTAGAAAAAATGTTTATTGAAAATATAATTATAAAAATTAGTTAGTAAACACACAAATTGTTAGTAATTTACAAATCATCTCTTCATCTCAGTTTCATCACCTAAAACATAACAGCAAATCATAAACCCACTAACATCATCGAAAACTAATAAATTAAAATTTTCTATCAATTAAAGTTTACCTTAAAACATGAAGGCCTATCCTATCCTATCCTGTTTTTTATTTTTACTTCAATTAAACTTTTTAAACTTAACAGATCATCAAGGCTTTCCTTGGATCTTTAATTCACTTTTATATAAATTAATTTAATTCCATTAATTTTAAATCCTGATCATCAAGGCTTATCCTTGGATCAAGTAGAACAATTTTGTTCTCCCCCACACATTTAGTAAAGTGTCTAACGACCTCAAACGTCGATTCTTTATCCAACCTTTTCTCAAGACCCAAGACTAATAGAAGTTTTTCAATCACATTAACCATTCCAATTAGGATAATTAGTGAAGAACTTCGGTTATTCATCCTTCACTTGACCCCCCCCCCCCCTCTCTTACCTGACCCAGGACAATAATTAAACTTAGTAAGTTTAAAATATTATCTAACGAACTACTTGTGTTCTAATTATACCTGAACCTTGTGGATCGATTTACTATTCTCCAACCCTTGAATACAATCACTACCCCTAAGTAAGATTAAGTAAGTTAACACCTTAACTTAGAGTAGTCACGAGAGAGTAACAATCATTCTCAAGAAGCGATATTTACTTTTCTCTCCAACCCTGACATTTACTACCCAAGTTAGGCTAACCCGAAAAAATTGTAAAAACTAACAAATTAAGCATTAAAAATCACTAATTCAAATATTGCATCCGTCATCTCAAACCTTATGTCACTAGACCACTTAGGAAATAAACCAACAATCATACTACACAATTGTGAAATAAACAACAAAAAATATGACCTCGTAATCACTCCACACACACAGTCAATAGGATATATTAGAATGAAACGACAAACAATCACAAGAAAAGTTTTAAGCAAAC